CCATGAAGTATGTATTCAATAACTAATCTTTGTATTTGTAAATCAAGTGCAATTTTCACTGAAATATATTTATCTGTGTCTGTAATGGTGAATAGTTTATCATTCAGGTGCAATATAACAATAATATAAAAATGAATTAATGTTTTTTTTTACTTTAGTGGTAAACGTGATCAATGACTTTTTCGAAAGTATTGTGTTTAATTCTATCGCCTAAAATTTATTTTAGTTTTGTTCGAAATAAATTCAAATAAATTCAATATATCATTTGGAGTGGTGTCTTTAAAAGAGTTTTTTAGAATTTGATTTGTTTATTTTTATTGAGGGTTAAATGTTACGCTGATGTACGCTGATGAGAAAATCAGGTTGTCCAAGCTCTTGCATTATTAATATTGCGTCTTGATAATGTTTCTGCATATACCTAGTATTACCGATTTATGTTAAAGGTAAAACGAACATGTTTCCAACTATATTATTTTCAACATTTTTAGAGTTTTTCGAGGCATTATGCATCACGTGATCTATTATACCTTGATAACATTAAACTCTTAGAATTTATTGGTCATTGCGAAAGAAGTTTATTTTATTGCTTTCTATCATAATATATATGCATGCAAAAAAATTTTTTTGCGTTAATTCTCCAGGATAGGGTATGGGACTTAAAATTTCACTATTTGTTCGATAAAAAGTTAAATATAAGTATTAAGAAAGGAACGTAAGATTTTCTGCTCTTGTTGAAAATTTTTATTTATGGTATGAATTTCATCCTACACCTCTAACTGGAAATACTGAAGAAAATACCATTAGATCGACATGCTGTATTCGGCATACAGAATCCATAATGCAACCAATAAAGGTGTTAATAAATCAGATAATAATATTAATATAAAACTTTTTGTAGAAATGTCAAACAGTATTGGTGAAAGCTTGCCACATTATGAACTTGAATTTGAAATAGATTTAATAGTAGCATTAATTAAAAATTCTTTCTAAATCAGACGGCTTATGTAATGTACACGCTTGCGAGTTACTAAATTATTGAAGCATAAGGTAAAAGGCAAGATAGTTATGGAAGAAAAAATTTGTCACGAAGTTCTTATTTTAAAAATTACATTAACTACCAAAAAAACTTCAATAATACTTTTTATTTTATATTTAAAAAATTCCCATTAGTTAAAGCATTAGCTATGAATATAAACAAGTCTCAAGGTCAAAGTTTTAATAATATGGAATTATTCTTAGAACAACTTTTTTTCTCATGGATAATTGTACGTAGCTTCATCAGGATGCAAAAATAGAAATAAAATTTTCGTTTAAATTGATAGACAAAACATTTTATATATTATAAATTAAGTTTGGAAAAAAAACTTTTTTAATCAAGTTATAATGTATATTAAATACTATATTATTATAATAACAAAATGATTTAAATATTCTTATATTTATGGACAAAATTTATAACCTCAAAATACATGCTATGAATGTATATTGTGTTCATTTTTTGTACCGATTCCAATACTAATTTAAAACACAATAAAAAAAGACATAAATTTTCGTGATTTAATAGGGCCTAATAAGTCATCTTAATGCGAAACTTTAACAGTTCATTCTTACGATAAAATAAATGTACTTTGAATCTATGTATGTAATGATTTTATCAATACAAAAACGAAATAATTTAATAGATTTACATAAGAACTACCATTTTATACACAGTTTATCATAAATGCTAACAAAAAGAAATTAGCGTACCAACAACTTTATATTTACTACTACATTAAAATATTACTGATATTCATAGGTCTCTTATCGTACTCTTGAATAAGAAAAAATGGAACACGTTTTTAAATCATAAAGTTATTTTAGTATAATATAAAAGAAAAAATAATAACTGAAGAAAAAATTGGATGTAGTCTTTATTTTAATACTAACTTTGCACATAGGAAGCAGCTCAACATTACCTTTTATTTTGTATCGTGAACAATTTCCAATCGTTGTGGCATTTGCTATGACATTAAACAAATCTTAAGGTCAAAGTTTTAAGAATGTATCTTAAGAAATTTCTTATTCTCTTCCAGTCAATTATGTGTGGCTTTGTTAGGATGCAAAAATAAAAAGGACTTTATTCAAGTAGAAAAAGAAAAAATACTGAAATCGTAAAAATTGTTTGGAAAGAAATTTTACATAATTAATTGGCTTCACTTAATATTTCTTATTGTCATATGTATTTTTAGCGCTCTTAACTGAATTCTAACGCATGCGCAATAGCAAGAAGACGAGACGCCGTGACGCGGCACTTCAGCGTCTAATACCTATAGTTTACTCACTCTCGCGTGGTCAGTCAGTCTGTCGATACGCACTGCCTGCTTTTCGTATTTTCCTTTTAATTTGATCTTGCTTTATTTCAGTTCAGCTTACGATTGTATCCTTGATTGTAAAGACTAAAGATAGCATACACTGAAGATAATGAGAATAAACGTGTCCATGTTTTATAATAAAATTGACAGCGTTGTACATTTTATTGCCCGATCACATACCCACACATCCATACTGCTAACACTTGTGAATAAATAATTATTTTTAATAAAGCAACAAAATCAATGGCCACAAATAAAAAGTTATTATATTCATAAATATTTTATCGTTTTACAATAATACATGACATTATAAATTTTTTTTTATAATGATACTTTTTTGATGAAAAAATTAATCCTTTCCTATTTCTTAGGAAAAAGAATCTGCAATATACAATAAAATTTATTATAATATTACAGCTTTGTATACATGTTACAAATAAATTATTATTTATTCTAATAATTAATAATATAAAAAATGTATAAATAAATAATA